GACGGAGAGAAATTGCCCCGCTATTAGGGACTGGTTAGTCATTAGCTAGACACTCAACTCAGCAAGAGAACCAATTGGCGTATTGGCACCTTCACACCTCGGGCGCCTCACCGTACCGCTCTATTCGGCCGTGGCTCTGGTAAACTGCACTTTCATGAGACGGCAATGTACCTTCTTAACACCACGTCACTTAAGCTGACAGAGTTTTATGACTCGAATACTCCTACCTACGCTATCCTGTCTCATACCTGGGGCAATGAGGAGGTCACATTTCAAGACGTGCAGGAGAGCAGTGAGAGAATCAGGTCGAAAGCCGGATATAAAAAGATTGCCATATTCTGTGCCAGAGCAAAGGAACATGGATTGAAATACGCCTGGGTCGACACTGCTTGTATCGACAAGCGCAGTAGCGCTGAGCTAACCGAGGCTATTAATTCTATGTACAGATATTATTTCAATGCTGCCATCTGCCTCATATACCTTGCTGATGTGCCGAAACTCTCTCAAGAAGCGCCATCTCGCAGAGCAAAATATAGACCTATCAAGCACAGCCGCTGGTTCTCGAGAGGCTGGACACTGCAAGAGCTCATTGCGCCAGTAACTAGAAAATTTCTATCTGAAGACTGGTCAACTATCGAGGACGACGGGTCGGGGCACTTTTTGACTCTGCTATCAGAAGTCACAGGAATCAGTGCAACATTACTGCAAGACAGGAGCCAGTTATCAAAGTACCCAGTATCTGCCAAGATGTCTTGGGCATCAAGACGACAGACAACTCGCAGTGAAGACGTTGCTTATAGTTTGATGGGTCTTTTTAATGTCAGCATGCCTGTTCTTTACGGCGAAGGCAGCACGCGAGCTTTCAAGCGATTACAGAATGAAATTATGCAAACATCTTTCGACCAAACCATATTCGCATGGCGAGGAGACTATGCCAGCAGTGGACTTCTAGCCAAGAGTCCCTCGGATTTCCGAAACACACCGCCGCTCGAGCTATGGTCTCCATCTAGCTTGTCCCCTTTCTCTATGACGAATCTGGGCCTCTACATCAGGATGACTATCGTCAAGCAAGTTAAAAAAGAAATCGGCGACCATAATGTATCAGGAGATCACGTCTCCGACTACCATCATGCCCTCATTCACGCCATGCCAGCATTTGCCTCCACCTGGGAGCCTCTTCTGATATATTTGCAACCCGTATCGCCTACATCCTTTGTAGTGAATGGCAGGGTATGCACAGCTTATCGAAGGGTGAGGTGCTCAGAGTGGACATACTTCTCAGACGGGGCGCTCGAGGATCAAGAATATGCAGACGTTCTTGTGTTGGAAGATGAACATTTAGAGCTGATGGAGCGTACAACATTTATTTCGGTTGAACGATGATACGAAGTGAGGATTGGTGCCGATGCACCTCCGAGCGTGAGAAAATGAGATTATTCATACAAGAATTGGTTATTGCTATTCACAGAGAGCCAATTCTGTATGACACTCATGTCCTAATAACTCCGTCCCAATGCAAATGTCCCATGCTGATATAGCAATGCATAACGCCTTCGATAAGTCAACCCCTTTAGTCTGCCCCACGAAAGAGTGCATTTTTCAAAATAGTGATCACTCTTCATTCTGTTGAGACTCGTATATCATCATCGCATGCTGAATATCGTCGAGACTTGATTTGTCGCCGTAGGCGTCTAGCAATAGGGCAGTCCGTCGCCGTCGCTCCCGGTCTAGGCGCTGTGACTCGTCTGCTCTTGCGAAGTATCTCTCGATTTGTGACTGCCGATACACCGATATTCCGTAGCCTATTACTTGTTTGTTAGTCCTGCTGCTGGCTGAGAGTGGCGCGCAGCTTTCTTACCTAAGAATATCAGCGCAAATACGGGGGGTACCCTGCGCGGTTGTTAGCATCTGGCTCCGCTGTGGTGTTTAGGTCCAAGTACGCACCATCGTGCACTTCGGCGAGAAGTATGTAGAAATGGTAGGATGTTCGGATAGACACGAGCAGTCGTCGTGAAGTGTCTTGCCGGCATTTTGAACATCTTTATGGTTGGAGAATTGTCAGGTTTTGTGCGGTCGCTAGGCCTCAATTGTGTCAGTCGGTAGCGGATCGGTGATGAGCTTTAGGTGTTTCTCGAGCTTTAGATGTCAAGATTGAAACTAGCTTGGAGAAATGCAATCGAGGATTGAACAAGCTAAAAAGGAAGAGAAGAGCTGCTGCCAGGGCAAGCTTTACTAGTGAATGTGACCGCCCTGAAGCGCAATTACGACGGGAAGCTCACCCAGATCGAACGACGAGATGGAACCCCGAATGGCATCGTGCCAATGCGCAATCGAGAACATCAACTTTGGCGGGCGACGTGGGCTGCTTATGGCTGCGTGTGGGGTGATCGCTCTGCCGCAGTCGTGCGACTGTGGGAAAGTAATGCTACCGAGCGGTAATATGTAATACAGATGCTGCCCGGCTGGAATTGCCGCGGGATCGGGATTCCTCGGGCAGTCCCACGACGTTTGGCCCCTTTCGTGCCATTCGACCGGATACACTGGCCAAACAGAGCGCGTGTCACATGGCACTGACAGCGTACTACGGGTTTGTTCTCGACATTGCCTTGGTCACACACGTCACATCTTGAGCTACGGCTGCGCTGGCGCTTGGCTTGGATTACATTCTGCAATTGTTTCGGCTGGATCAGCCGCGAAGCAGCTAAAGAAGACGGAAGCCGGCAGATATACACTATCCTCGGCTTGTAAACCGTCCCCGCCATTTAGTGTGCCGAGTGCTTACTTATACCAGTTATACCGAAGCTTCAAAAGATTGAAAAACTATTTCAGCTGCCAAAGTACTTTCAGAATGGGCCTGTCAGCACATAGATCTCATTCGACTGGTCGCTGGACATGAAGAGGCGCCCTGCTTTGTCAAACGCCATGTGAACTGGGCGAAAGCAGCTGTTGGGGCAGCTGCCCACATTTGTGTTTTGCATAATCGGGACCGTGGCCGTGGTACTCGTTGATGGCTCCGTGGGCTGTCCGTCTGTTCCGAAGTTGATCTTCATCAACCGATACCCGTCGGGCGGGCTTCGGTTCCTATTGTGGAGAGTCAGCCTGTTTCGCAACGTTCACAATAACCAGAACTACGCCGTCGGATGCGTCAACTCACCAACTGCCATGGAAGCTGACATAGGCAGTGCCATTCTTGCTGAACTTGATATCAAGTGGTGCCGTGTGGGCCGGGAATGACAAACGGGGTGCTTGGTATTGAGCACAGGCTGCATCCGCTGTAGCTGGATCTTGACCGGAGGCTAGATTCGGGATGAAGTGGCTTCCAACCTTCAATGCATTATTGCTTAGATCCGCCGGCCTCCAGGCTGCGACACAGGTCGGATAACCATAGCTTTTCCCCTTGTATGGATTCGCCGTGTCGTTGAGCTGCCCATGGTAGTTTAGTTCCTCGGCTGGATTCTCGTTGTGCACGTCACGGTTTTGTCGCCTGACATCGTCCATACTGTTTTCAACAGACCACTACAATCTTGTTAACGCGGAGAGACAACAACTTAGTATTTGATGATGCTGCGTCCTGCAGTTGGGCTTGTCGTAGCTGCGTCAATGTTGGCATCTGATCCTCGTGACACAAGAAGTAGATCTGTATAAGCTTTTGACACGAGCAGGGTTCTCGTCGAATGCCCTCCGTTTCGCATATTTTGGATCACTGTCTTTTTATTCGTCGCCGTGCCGGCTATAGCGTCATATGTGTATGCGTAAACAGCGTCTAGACTAGATACAAACAGTATCTTTCCATCGACGGACAAGTCAATTCCATGATTAAGCTGTTCTCATGTTAACGTACCCAACGAATCTTTTGGCCGGGCATGTTTCACCGAAGAATCAGCAATGATTTGCTTGCTCGTGGTAACACAGACCGATCCTCCACTCTCCGCGAGTGTCACGAGCCTCACACCTCCGCCTCCTTGTTCGACAATTAGGAGATTGCCAGAGGTATCAAATACTATACCTCTCGGTGATCTGAGTCCACTAAGCAAGACCTTCGACGTGAAACCCGAAGCCATCTGCGTCTGAAATCGCTGCGCTGGTGCCGCTTGGCAATTCTGAGCTGCAATCGGCGTAGAGAAGCCTGCCAATATGGCAAGCGTATAAATAAGAAAAGAAATCATGATGAGCCCTGAAGTTGAATGCAGGACACACCGAGTTGACTCCTTACAGCCCAAGAAGAAGGAAATATGTATGGCATCCTCGCACAGAGGGCCAGTGCATTTATTAAACAACTTACAAACAGCGTTTTAGATCTTAGAGACCTCGAAATGTTCGGTCGATATCCAGGCGGAAAGAAACTCCCCGCAGTGATGTGTTATTGATCATGAGTAACCTGCTCCAAGAAGTTTGCGTCATTCACCCGGAGCCAAGATGCGCTTTCCAAGACTTTTATATTGGTCCATGGTACGCACACCTATTCAAGAGTGGGGATAGATACTCAGCATAGCAAGTTATAGAACAGGATGATATGTATGAACAAGACATGGTCGCTGAAAATACCCGACAAATCCAATCGTATATCCAATAACAGATTAAGTGCTCCCAAGAATTTTAAATATTCCCCCTCACATTGAATGGTAGGACTGTCATTGTTTCCGGGCTTGGCGGGGCAATATGTCCTCACCATATAGCTCGCTTCCGGTTTTGAACGGGCACCTGCATGGACGGAAGTGGAGCGATTTTTGCTTTGCCCAATACTTCGCTGGGTTGAACCTGGATTCTGAGTGTGGCTCTTTGCGGCTTTGTCTTGAACAGAGGATTTGTGATGCACTCGGCAGGATGCAAGAACCATCGATCGTAATCCGTTATAAAAGAAACGTGTTGAGCAGAAATCATGATTGACATATGGGTATGTAGGTATGTACAAATATCAGGAGTGTTCATTTTGGAGACATTTCAGAAAACTCTCAAGTATTTTACAATGGGAAAGTATCGTGACCCGCTGCCATTGGCAGTTACTCTGGCTTCTGAGCAAACCAGAAGTAATAATTATAGTAACGGTGAACGTCTGTCTCTTTCGCCGCCTGCCGAACCTTTGCTCCCCAAACTTGACGCTCTTCCTCGGACATACCAAGGTTAGCAAATGGCTTGGCCAAAAGTGCAGGCAGGGAGTCGATGAGCGCAAGGTATGTATAATGACCGACGAGGCGCAATGTCTTATCTTTCGGCCATGTACCAAGTGGTAGCTTCTTGATGATGCACTGAACATTTGTGAAGCCAACTTTCTCCAGGTAGCCTTGGAGGTGAAGGGGCTTGTCTATATCATAGCCGAAACTCTTCATTGCTAATTGGCATGTTTCGTAATATCGTTTGATTATGTCGTCGTCCTTCATGGTCTCATCATCGCACTGTGGCATACCGTACGTTTCTTGGAACTCGATCCAGCCTCCTGGTTTGAGATTCCTACAAGTCAATAATTAGTATGGAAAAAGGAATGCGAAAATCTTGAGCATTTACTCGAAAGATTGGGTAATGGCTTTATGGACATCGCGAAGCACTAAAGCCATGCTACGAAAATGAACTAGATCAAAGCCCGATCCATTGACCCATTCATCTTCAACGTCATCAACATAGAATTTGAGATTAGGCGGGATCCAGCTGGGAAGATTACGTATGTCAGTAGACTTTCAAGAATTCTTGTATGGATCTTACGTTGGTTGATGCGGCGATATGTCGATACCTACGACTTCAGCGCCGGGATATTGGTCGGCCGCTTCTATGGCCCAGATACCTTCGTTTAAGTAAGTACTGCTCGTCCACTGAGATCCACACTGATTGTGAACTGACCAGTCCCAGTACCAACATCGATAATCTTTTGCGGATTCTTCCCAATGGGAGAGTAGAAGAGTTTACCGTCCTGCATAACATGGCCATCAGCAATGCACGAAGGAATATGCGATTGATCTCAGATTCTTACTGTCACTTCCATTATCATAGCATGCTTCATATCCTCTCGATTTTGTTCAAAATCGTCGTTTGGAATCGGGTATTTGCCGTGCTTGTACGCGTGATACCGCCGCCCGTGAGCATACTCATGTGCATAAACGCTCGAACCTACTGAAGTCGATGCTGCAGTTGATGTCGCATCCCAGCCCTGTGCGAGAAACTCGTCTTCCTCTTCAGCGGCTTGATTGGCAGGCTCGATGACATCTGGGTTGTCCTCTTCGTGCCGTGTTGACCGAGGAGTATTTGTTCCAGCAGTCCTCCCCGGACTTGGTTCTTTAGACTTAGGAGGACTCGACATGGAGCATCTGATAGCTAAGTAATTGCTTCCTAGCTAGCTCTAGCGAGTGGTCGTATTGGACGAATTGACGAGCGCAACTGTACAATAGCACGCGCACATTAGACGATGACAAAATGCCAATCACGGTAGTTGACGGGCCAAGCCACGTGTGCTAAAAGGAAGGATGGGATTTAGGACCTCTGTGGTGGGGAAACAGGATCTTTTGGCATTTGATAGCCCGTGTCTACTATATCTATGCAACTCGGATCCTCGGCCGCGTAATATGGCCGGGGTGCCATGATTGGCAGTGGGATGCGTTGTGTACGGATTGGCATCTCTGTGCGGCGGGTGTGCGTTTGATTGCAGGACTTCGGTCCCCTAGAAGTATGTCGTATTTGGGGAGCAGTCGCTTGTGCCACGGTTGTCCGACGACACATCAGAAAATGACTATCCATATTCAACTGCGATTGGGTGCTTCGAGCATTTCGTTCTCGAAGTTGTCCGAAAGAGGCTGGTGCCCGTTCCCTGCGGGAATTACTTGCGCCACCAGGTTACAAGGAGTTGCTCAAGCGAGCTCTTGAAAGGTGGGAGCGGGAATGAGATTGGATGATAAGCCCATGATTCGCATTCTCAACTCGGAGCCAGCATCCGTTAACCGCCAGGGCTAGATCACATCTGCGCACATTGCATCTAACCCCTCGTCAGTGTGACTTCTTCATTCTGTGAGGTGACAATGTGTGATGTTCGGCAAGAAGTGCCCCCATGATAGAAAAAAAACCTCTTCATTCCAGGAATCAACACATTCCTCTGCCATGTGACCTTGCTCCCGGGTTGTCTACCCCTTAACAGTTCACAACAGCAACTTCTTCTTTCTGCCTCTCGTTGTCCTAAATACAAATCCGGCATGATTGTGAACCGGTTTATAGAGATCGAATTTCAACGAGCAGATATGATCATTAGAAGACGCATACTTTACGACCGTTATTAATTGTGAATCCACGGTAATGAATCTTGACCAGGTGCATATTATTAACAAACACTGAGAGATATCGGTTAGAAATGCCTTGAACATTACGCAAAATTGTGTGAAGGGGTGAGTGGTTCTACTCTTCCTCACCCGAGTTTCTACAAACATACAAGCGGGCCAAGATCGTCGCAATGAAGAAGAAATGCAGGTCTCTATCACAACATAGGTGGTTGCCATATATAAGAAGACACATTGCAGTTTGGATTGACTCATGATAGCCATCCCGTTTGTAAAGAAACCCAGGATCGGCGCTGTGACCATAAGTCTAATCTCGGGAATGCTTGTGGTTTCATCATTTCTCAAGCGTGCTAGAAGCATCGACATCCACCAAGTCCAGGTCTGCATCAGAGTTGATGTCCATGGAAAGTGCAGCCTCCTCTAAGTCTGTATCATTGACGCGTTCGACGGCTTAAGAGAGAAAATTTTGTAAGTTGTTTTGTTTCAATTACTAGTACAACATTTGAGGACAGACATACCGTAATATGGTTGATCTCCTAAGTAGCCTATTGGCTTCGCCTCTCTCTTGGTGTCGGGGTTGGTGGCGGGGCCAAAGTTGACGATGCATCTACATCGGTGACATCAGTCGAGGCGTTGCTCATGTATCTGTGAGTAAACCGCTATATGGGCGGATAGATGGGACTTGTCTCACTGATTGATGCCAGGCCCTGAAGGAGAAGAGGAAATTATACATACGGATAAATCTGAAGTCGTGTTCCACCATACTTGTCCCAAGCGGGTGTCGTTGTCGCTCCATCCCAGCAGAATCCATTCGGTCTATTCCCGCCAATGCGAAATCTTGCCTGACCCATTGTACTCACAGCACAGAGAATCCAAGAAGGCTTATCAAGACTGTATGTCTTCGGGACCTTGTCATTTTTGTCATTCCGGTCACGCAGATTCCCCGTTACGGTACCTGCGCCAGGAAACTGGCCGGATCTGCCGCCATCATCTGTTGGAAAAGCTAGTTGAAGCGTGAAGTTACGTTTGTGGTACCACGAAAGCCTTCGGTCCTGTTTTTCTTGAGCATTGAGCCCCTCTGAGGGCGGTTGTGTCCGTTCATAATGCGTCAAACGCTGCCTACCGCCCATTCCCTGTTTACTGACCCAGGCTGGACTTTGCCAGCCCGTCCATTGCTCATCATCTGGAGTGGCTTGGAGGCCTTGTCCATCAATCCAATTATTGAAGTATTGAACATTAGTCTCGAGTCTGTTTAGCAGACCTAGTGGAAGTTAGTGACTGAAACTTAAAAATACTATATAAGTGGTCCGTTTTCAGTGAGAAGGACGTCGCCTTCCTAGCTCGTTCAGGAACTGACACCTCCAACGACAGCAAGAGATTATTGTAAAGGAAGCAGCAGATGCAATTACAAAGACATACCGTTACATGGACCTTGAAGATTCTGTTGCCATGTTGGCACGCAAGTGCGTGTAGTCCCAAGAGGGTCATCCGGGTGCAGACCGTAAAATCCATCGCCGCCTTCCTCGGTCGAGGCAAAGGGGAACTCATCGCAGCTCGTAGGCTGGGTTTCAGTGGTCGGACCGCGATTTGGCTGCCACAAAGTCGCCTGGTATTGATCATTATCCCCAGCGCAGAATGCACGCGTCGGTGGACTTTTCTTCGCACCTGGACAGCTCCTACGTCGACGATTGCTTTGCCGTGGGCTGTCCCAGGTCAAAGTACACCTATTGAGGTTGCATCGGCTGTTGCCAACATTCTGCCAGTTATTCATAAATCTTTGGACTGAGGTGCAGATACCTGGGCGATTGCATCAAACTTTGTTAGTTTGCCTATTTGTGATCGGAAGGGTTGCTTCCTACGAAGCAAGAGAGCTCACCTGGCATGGTGGCAGCATTTCCCGTGCCGCCACTAGCTGCAGGCGCAGTGAATGCATAGTCTGCAAAGAGACTAGTACAGCTATCTAAGAAACGGGTCAGTACAGAAACTCCATGGAAACCTTTTGGCTCACAAAACAGCCGAGGCAGAACCCTTGGGCAGTCCCGCCGAGGTGCTAAAGCCGCTCTCCTTTTGAGGCTACTACTCATCGAGCCCGTGTATAAGCTGAGATCGCGACGAGGAGGTCCATCACCTGGGTTCTCTTCAAGGCTGGGAGATCCACATGAGCCACCCGGTTGAGTCGTACATTTGAAACCATTACCCTTCTCAAACTGCGTTGGGCCGCGGTCTTTACCGGCCTGTCGGCTTACAAGAGACGTGGGCTCTGTTAGGTTAGAATCAATAGTGTAGCTATCGATGAACATCGCGCTAGTCTCAGCTATCACGGGCTGGCCAAAATGAAAGATTGCGTCCGGTAGCGGTTCCTCTGACAGTCCAAGCGATCTCTTGCCTGATGAGGCGGGGGAAGACTTAACGACGTCCCCCCACAGTTTGATCTTCTGCCAGTCTACTGGATAGTAGGTTTTCGTCCTCCAGTCTCCATACAAATAGACCTGAGCAACAGCACTGAGACCAATGCGATAGAGAAAAGCCAATTCATAACCGTAGGACCATCCTGATAGTTGGTTCACTGTCTCAGCAGTGGCAAAGGCATTGAAATTCAAGGTTGTGTTAGCAAATGCGGCAAGATGAGCGTCCACTAGTGTTCCCTATAGATAACCTTAGTTCAGTGATGGAAGAGTTTGGTATCAAGCCAACTCACCTTAAGAGGTCCAATCCCACCACCGACTTTGATTCCAAGGTTGACCTCGGGTGACACTCTCACATTGAAGTCTACCTCCGCTCGAACATTGGCTTCAAAACTTGGGGAGAGACCCTGCTGGTCAACTTCGTCTTCTTCTAACTCCTTAGTTGCTTTATCATGTGTCTCATCCGTGTTGGGCATATACATTTCGATGGGCTGAAACGTGTAAGTCACACCAGCGCGCATACGACCTGAAACTGTCACGCTTCCATCGATCTGACCCCAAATATCTAGGGTTGGTCCAACTGCAGCGATGCCCTTGATTGCGAGTCCAGGATATGTCAGTGTGTCAATCAAGCGTTTGGGATTAGTCGTATAGACGAGGCTAGCATCACCTGACAGCGTAATTCCGGCGACTACTTCTGGATGAACACCAGCATAGGCGTATACATCGTTAACATGAGGCACCGGTGCAATTGTACCTGAGAAATAGTACGAATATCGCGTGTTCATCCGCAAGGCTATGTCGGCGGTAATATCCATCCCGGCGGTGATGGTTATACCGGAGTCGCTAGTACACGTAAGGCGGCCGCTGTACAAGGTGAAAAATTTGGAAAATGCCATGGGCAATACCCCTGCATCGGACTTCTCTAGTGTAGTCATCTTTTCGAGCCAACCCAAGAAGCTCCCGAACCATCGGCGATGCTGGCGAGAGACTGACATGTCCTCGGCTTTGAAGTGTGTGCTTGCCTCCCGGTCTAATGGCATAGGCGAGCGTTTGGCATAGTCAACGCGAGACTTCCATTCTGCGAATGTCACTTGGTCATGTACGGAGCGTTTTCGTGTTGCTGGACTGTCAGTGATCGAATCCCAATATCCTTGCAGATTGGTATAGTCGATGCGCATTTTCACAGGCCCATCATCCTTCTCGATCGCCTGAAAATTGTAGTCAAATCGCACAACATAGACACCTAT